AACATCGCTCACATCACATAGTTTAAGCAGCAGAACTTTCACCGCCGGAGTTCAACACCTCACTCTTCGGAGTGATGTCTCATAATCGTTGCTGGTTGTATGCCGTTGGGAGCCGCTGGAAGCCACCAAGCTTATTGGAGCTTCTGTATTTTTCGGAGGTTTGGGTTTGACGTCGGCCTCCAGAAGCCGTTGCAACCCGGAGGGCCTGAAGAACAGATCTTGGAGTGGAGAAAACGACACCCAAGAAACAATTTGTCCTCCAGAATGGTAAGTTTACGTCGCGTCGACGCGGCGGCGACACCGGCGTGGGCGTTCGTAATGAACGCGGGCAGTGGTCAGGAATCGGCTGGTGTTGAACGGGAATGCGCGATCGTTCCCAGTTGAAAGAACCAAACGGTGTCAAACATCGACGCGCAGGCCGTTACGACATTTGCCGGCGCAGGATACAGCGAGAGGACACGCGATTTTGGTTTAACGTTTTTTTGAAGTTTGCAGGTGGCGTTTTCGTCGCCACGTCATCGGGTCCGCCTCGAAATTCGAATCACAACGCCCCCCAAGAAAAATCGGGTGGCGCACGAACATGTAAATCGAGGGCGAGACCAAATAAGGAACGGGTAAGGAGACTTTAAAGAAACGGCCACACTTCGAAGGCCAAAGAGGATGACGCCAAGTGCCAACAGGTGCGAAGCTTGAAGGACCAAGGTGCGTGGCGCGAAGCACCAACGCAGTCTTGCATATATGTATGCGTATATAGATACATAATGTATTTATTTCCTATCTATCTCTCTCGTTCTTTCTCTGTCTTCCGTCACCCCCTCTTTCTCCCTCTCTCTCTCTCTCCCTATCTCTCTCTTTCTCTTTCTCCCTCTGTTCGCTCTCTTCTTTGAAAACAAAAGAACCATTATGTGACTCGGCCATAAGGGGAATCGGCTTGCAAATCCGCCACAAATTGAATCAACCTGCAAATATGTTACAAAAGAAGCCGATTTGTAAATATGGCATGAATTTTCATTGTGCACGGCCCCAGAGACAAAATGTCGAGGCCTCGGAAGAGGTGTTTTTTTGTTGTTTTGTTGTGTTTACTTTTTCTTATTCCCTCATTGGCTTTGACTGCACAGGCACAACGGAAACCAGTTCGCAGCCTTGAGAACACGGCGGCATATATAAAGACACAAGGTGCTCATTGATTGCGTTCAAGAATTGTACCCATGTGTTTCCGACTTGGGTTTGGGCTGTACAGGCACAGGATACGTCAAGATCAGGAGCAGTTGTTTCCACCAGTTGTCTTAAGGAATCCATGGACACCTTGCGCTGTCATATGAAAGCCTTTTCTCTTGAAAAATGTAAACTGGCTTTCTTTGCGCCTACAAAGTCAAATCTTCCCGAGGCCTCGGGGTTTCAGCCCCGGGGTATCCACATAGCGAGTGCTTTGCAAACCTGTTACCAAGTTCATGAGGCCTCGGATTTGTTTGTGTGGGTTGTTCTTGTTTTGTGTGTTTCCCGCGTTGCTTTGGACTCTACAGGCGCAAGGAAAACCAGTTCCCATCCTTCAACAGCGCAGGTTTCCAGTTAAAGACACAAGCTGTTCAATGATTTTACATGCGAAAACTATTTGGAAATATGTTCCCGATTTGGGTTTAGGCTGTTCAGGCATAGGGAAACCCAAGATCGGGAACACCTTTCTCTACTGGTTATATCTGGGAGTCACCGAAACCTACAGTTTAATATGAAAGGCATTTGTTTGAAAGGAAAAATGTTCGCAATGCCTCAACTTTAGATTCCGATTGAATATTATGTATGGATTCCGCTTGCTTCTAATTGATGCTTACGGTTCTCATTGTTTCATACGGATGTCTATTGAGTGCTCGAGGTTCTTTCTGTTCCTTTTAGATTCCGATCGACCAGTGTTGGTGTTCATCGTTTCCCATTGGTTCAGACTGGTTATTTTGGTTTCTATTGATCCCGATTGATTCCCAGTGGTTCCTATTGACCCTAGTGATTCCGATCGAGTCATCAGGATTATGTTTGGATCGTGTGGATTGGTATGGATTTTCTTTTCTGTGGAGTCCGACTGATTCTACCAATCCCTATGTCCCTATTCTTCTTGATAGCGTGTGCTCCCTATTGGTTCCTATGGGTCCCGAGTGATTCCTATTGGCTTCGAGTGTTTGTTATTGATTCCTTTCCGACTGATTCCAATGATCTTGATAGAGTTATGTAATGCTTGATTGTTGTTCATTAGTCTTCATTGGTCCCCATCAATTCCATTGATTCCGATCCATTCCGAATGGTTCCCATTGGTTCTTATTGATTCGTATGGATTCTTATTGATCCTTATGATGCCCATCGATCCCTACGGACTTCTAGTGATTCTAGTTGCTCCACTAGGACTCCGATGGGTGCAGAATGACACCTATTAATTTATATTGTTTCCGAATGATTCCTATTGACCCCAATGGCCTTTATTGACCCGTAGTGGTCCCGATTATTTCGTATTGGTTCCGAGTGATTCCCGTTGACCCCCATTGCTTCGTCATGAATATCGTTGGTTATTATTGATTCGTATTGCTTCCTACTAGTTCCCATTGGTTCTTAGGAGTTTGAATGTGTTATTGTTGGTTCCGTGCGATTATTGCTGGTTCCGATGTGTTCTGATTGGTTTCTACTAATTCTTATTAATTCCAAGTAATTTCGATCAGTTCCGATAATTTTTGAGTTTCTCCATTTGTTATTGATTCTTAGTTGTTCCTGCCAGTTCCTAACGATGTCGGGTGGATCCGATTGATTCTTATATGTTCGTCTTGATCTTCTCTATGGACTATTACTGCCTGTTGATTCCGATCGAATCGGATTGGTTTCGGTTGATCTTTATTGGTCCCTATTGTTTTCTATTGGCTCTTACTGAACATTGTTAATGTTGTGGATATGATTGATTATTGCTGAACCCGTTCGGTCCACATTGATATTCATGATTCCTATTGATTCCCATTCATCCCCATTGATTTCTATTGGCTCTTCTTGTTCCCGAGTGATTCCGATTGGTTCCTCACGATCTGTATTGGTTTTTATTGGTTCTAATTGAATCCGTTCTTGTTGCTTCTCATTCGTTCCCATACATTCCCGTTGATTCCAATTGATTTCGATTGGTGTTGTTTTTTATGGTTGTTGGTTGCAATTGATTATTGTTGAGTTATGCTCATTCCAAGTGAGTCCGATTGATTCCTTGAGATTCCGACTGAACCCAATAGATTATTGTTGGTTCCTATTGGTTCCCATTGATCCGATTGTTTCCCATTCATTCTTGCCGTTTCTTTTTTGATTCTTATTGTTCCCGAGTGGTTCTGATTCGTTCTTAATAGTTTCGGGCGAAGTCCGCAAGATTATAATGATTCTTTTTTATTCCCATTCATTCCTACTAATTCCCTTTGATGGCCAAGGGGTGGCTAGAGGACGGGCGTGGTTTTCACACCGATGGCGCTCGGTCGCACAAATTTGGAAGCAATAGAAAGAGCTATCTGTGCGGAGTGATCCACGATTACGTGGTCCACAACCCAAGAATCTCCACGATGGGCAGGTCATGCGCCCAACGTGTGTGCAAGTACTGTCGCACGACAGCGGCGACCAGACTATCCACAGGAAGGGCAGCACGCACAGAAGGGACCGCATCCGGAGGCACGCGCAGGGGCACGCTGGCTCGCGGGCAGCAGCTGGTGCCCCCCGGGAAGCACAGGTGGTGCTACTGGCACATCGGCCAAGGTCGGTTTCCGAAGATGGGCGAGGTGCGCCGGCGCTGCGGGCCGAAACCATGCCGCGTGCACGCTCACGCGCACGAGCCTTTTGCATGTTAGAGCTGTGCTGCACCTCGCCCGTTGACAGAAATGAAGCGTGTATCGATCGCAGGGGGGGGGGGCAAGTACATATAGTACATATACATACGCATCTACATCTACATATACTACGTATACGTAAACTACATAAACACACACATATATATATACACGCAGACTTCCCCATATATATATATATATATATATATATATATATGTATACACGCATACTGCCAGTTACGGCCCGATAAGGCTGAAAAATAAACTGCAGGTGTCAATCCATCGAAGAAGCGGTGATCAAGCCAAAGGAAGGACCTTGCGTTGTTGAGGAGGGCGGATGGGACAACGTGACGGGAGGGATTGAGGGCGGAGCGCGTTTCGATGCGTTTCGCGAACAGCACTCGTTTGCCAGCTTGGACTCCAAACGTGGGGTCTTGCACGCTGGGTGTGTTACGTATTGGGGGCGCAATATGTGTCGTGCTAGTTGTTGGGGCACCCCGTGTTGTGCAACCAGGTTAGAGATTTCGAAGGCGTGCTATCCCACAATCGCCCAAACACCCGACCCTTCCACCCGCAATTGCTTTGCAAACGTCAAGAGGCCGTGCGTGCAGCTACACATCAGAACATGTTGCCATAGTTTAACCAGTACAATGCCGCGAGGATGGGCTCCGTGTTGCCATGTTCTTGTGTGCACACACGGGAACTTTGTTCGCATACAGTTTGTATTGACCAGTATTGAAAGCACGCATGTTTGGTATACCTTGCTGAACGCTGTTTAGCCACAAGGGATTGGCAAGATTGTGACATGCGTTCGCGTGGCACGTGCTGCAGTATCTGACGGGGGTGATGTGGGCAGCGAACGCCGAGCAAGACATCACTGAAACATCAACATGTTTTGAGTGGCCCTTGATGGCATGTTTACAGACCCATGAGGGGGGCGAATGCGCGCACAGACGTTGTGGCTTGCATTCCATGGACACCAACCACATCATTCGTTACAACTTCTCGGAGGCGAATAAAAAGGGGTGGGAGGAGGAGGAACACACATTAGCAGCGTGCAGACAAGGATGAATGGGAGGAGGAGGAGGAAGAAGCGGAGGAAGGCGGAAGAAGAGCAGGATGAGGAGGAGCTTGAGGATAGGGCTGAAAGAACGATCCGATTATGTTTCCGAGGCCATGGCGCTGGCCGTCGAGGAGCTCGACAAGGAGGCTGATGAGGCATGCACTTGAATCGCCCCTGCCCCTCTCACATGTCTCTCTCGTCAACCTGGCGGCCGCCGTGTTTCCCCCCGTCTCGGGTTGCGGCGCAGCTCTGCCGTGGTGTTTTTTTTATATTTCCCAAGGTAGAACCACTGTCGAGGCCGATGGACAACTGTCCTCTCTCCCCCTTTTCTTTCAATGGGACCTCTCGGAGCGATGCGTTGTTGGCAGCTTCGCTGGCCGTGTTCCCCCTTCGCCGTGTCTTCGCGGACACCATGGGCCGGCCGCGGCTCCAGGGAGACATCAAAGCAGTGCTTGGAGTAAATCATACATCGGGTAATTCTGTTTCTCTTCTTGGGGAAGAAGAGAGAGCGCACAGTATTGGTCCTGTTGGTCGACCCGTGCCTCCATCCTCTTCTCCTCCACCTCCTCCCGAGCACTCCCCCTCCTTATCCCTCCACCTCATCCTCCTTCTCCTTCTCCTTCTCCACCTCATCATTTACAAAACAAATATCCTGGCGAAGTGCCAAACCATATGCAGCTGCGAGTGCCGTGAGGCAAGCAAGAGGAAGGATAGGTACGAACAAAACGATTGATTGAGACGCATGTCCTGGCGAAGGTGGCGTCATGCGAACCTTGCCGCTGATGCCGTCGGTGGAGTTTCCCAAGAGGCCGCGATCCTCGTGAGGGGTGTGCCGAAATGGGTTTGGGGACGCATGCGGACCCTGCCGCTAGAGCCTTCGGTGGACCTCTTTTTATGGCCAAGATGCTCGCGAGGTGTGTGTGTGTGTGCCGAAATGGGCGGGGGGACGCATGTGGACCCCGCCACTGAGACCTTCGGTGGAACTCCTGAAGGGGCCACTATCTCCAAGAAGGGTGTGCCGAAATGGGCGGGGGGACGCATGCGGACCCTGCCGCTGGGGCCTTCG